TGCGGTAATTTTAGTTGTACATATTGTCGGTATTAAATTATAAATTATATCAAATAAGTGTATTAAAACCAAACAAAAAAAATTTGCTTAAACTTTTTATTTATATTTTGATGTTTCAACCAGGCGCGGACGGCCCACCGGGAAACCGGGAAATTTCACGGTGCGCCCCACCATCCTTGGCGCCCCCCCCTCACCATAAGTTTTATATCTCCATAATACCAAATGTTACATATAATTAATAACTATAAAACCATTTAGTGTTATCGCTTTTAGTGCAAATTTATTTTCCTTTAATTTCTCACAATACAATTAAAGCATCATTTATATCAGGGGCGAATTCAGAAATATTTTAGAGGAAGACAGAAAAATATTTTTTGACTTTTTAACAAATACTCACGTTAATTAGTTTTTATCATGCTGTTTACCTTACTAAATGATAGTTTAAGCTAGACCCGAAGGAAACTTTATTTTGTCCGAAATTAAAATTTGAAAAAAGTGATTAGGAAAAGTCTGAGTTAGGATCCCCCTCCCTAAACCCGCCCCTGATTTAATCACAAACTTAATAGCAAACTGATTCGATACTTCTTATTTTTAAAACCGCCCGTAAAAACTATAACAGACTGTACGTCAGAACTCAGTGCAGTTGTTACCGAAGAAAGTATATATGATGTGTATATAGAACTAACAAAAGATGATGCTAACTCAGGTATTCTCAACCATAAACATCAGTGTACCGCAACAACAAAATTGATTTATAAACGGCTTCCTGACAGTGCACAGCCTAACCAAAGAATAGCATTAGTAAATAATAACATGATTCAGCCGAACCATAAAAATGTAAAGCATTTACCGTATGATCCAAAAAGAGTGTACTAAAGATTGATATCAGATAATATGTACAAAGACGTTGGATAACCGCAAGAGTTAAAGACAATCAAATCGTGGCACTTTACTGCAATGCATAAATAGCATTTTCAAAAGAAGATTATAGTTTTACTATGAATTTAAAATCAAAGACCATGAAGAACCAAAATCACAATACGCTGCTGTATTTGCACTATTAAGTTGTACAACAGAGAAAAATATAAGCTCTTTAAGCAACAAAGGTATAGTGGAAAAGCAGAAAGCGCAAGTATTGAAAAACATCGAAGTATTTGAACAAATTTTTGCAGGAGTTATTTTTATTGGAAAGCAAACTCTTCCATACAGAGGTAATTGGGGAGAATCTCTCTACAGTTTACACTATAAATCTGTTGATCACGGAAACTTTTTGGAACTAATATATTGCTGATAGCAAAGTTTGATATTCCTCTTAATAATCATATAGAAAATGGTATTCAGGCAAGTCAAAAAAAAAAGGAAAGATTGTTTGATACGTAAAGGAAAGGAAGCTCACGTGGACGTGGAGGCTTGGTAACAATGTTGTCAAAGACTACAGTTAACAATATTCTAGCTGCTATTTCAAACTTGATGAAGAACTGTATAATCAAGGAAATTGGTGATCAGAAATTCAGTGTTTAAATAGATGGTAGTCAAGATACGTGGGTGATTGATCAGAAGACAATAATCTTACAATATGTACTTGGAGATGACACGAAAGAGCGAATAATTGCGATAAAAAAAGTTACTGATGCAACAGGTGCAGGACTATACCAACTATTGAAATCAGAGCTTAAACACAATGGTTTAAAAATGGAAAAAATTATGGGTGAATCCTTTGATGGAGCAGCAAACATGCGTGATGAATATCATGGAGTTCAACGTTACATTAAAGACGTTTCACCAAATGCTGTATACATGTGGTGCTACGCGAACGTTCTAAATTTGTCCGCAAGAGATATTGTGGAAAATATATTAGCTGTCAAAAATTTAATTTGTCTCTTGCAGAGTACAGCAACTTACTTTGGCAATTCTTGCAAACAAATGAACGTTTGGACGGATACTCTTATTGGACAAGGTGTTGGATCTGCGAAACTGAAAAGACTGCAAAAAATTGGTGAAATACGTTGGTGGTTGAAGCAAATGGCGCTTGAACAAATTTTTGGAACTTATGATGCTTCACTAGTGGAATTGTTCTATGTTCTTTTGCAATTGTATTAGGATACAATTGCAAAAGAACATTTTCAATGCAAAATCAACATTCGAAGCCACAGCACTACATGACAAATGGTGTCAGTTCGATGTGTTTCTTTCAGCCTTTCTTCTTCTATGTGTATACACCGTTTTGCGACAAGCATCCAAATACTTGCAAACAAGAGGTCTGGATTATTTAAGTGCTTGGAATATGGTAGAGTCAGCAAAACAAGAATTGCAGACAATATCGTTCAAAGATGTCCATTACAAGATAACTGCATTTGTTAAAAAAATCAACACCCGCCTAGATGTAACACCCACCTAGATGTAACACCTACCTAGATGTAACACCCACCTAGATGCTAGTGAACTTGATTCAGAAGTTGAAACAGAATTGCATGTAAAACGAGTTCATCGAAAGAAACGT